CAACAAATTTTCATCTGTTATTCTGCATCCTCCTCCCACCCTTAAAAAGTTTCCCATTTTGTTATTCCTGAAGTGAATTCTGATATGTTCCCTAATGTATAGATCACATTTATTCATGGTTCTACAGTAGCACCAGATAAAAATGCAAAATCAAAGGGAAGAAATACAGGAGATTTCAGACTGTGTTAATTACATGCTGCAAAATTTCTATCTTTCCAAGAAAAAAACGACATTTCCAACTTCCAAAACCTTGCTATTATTGTCATTAAAAAAAAAAAAAAAAAAAAAAAAAAAACACCCGAGGAAAATGAAATAAAAAGTCTCAAAGTTTTAGTGTACTGCTTTTGAATAATGTTATCTACAATTATGACAGACAATCTGTTAAATAGAAAAAAGATTTGTTTTACATAAAGCAAGAGTACAAAAGCACAGCTTTTGTAATTTTGGTAATATTGCAGTTTTACAAACATATTGCATAGTATGTGTAAGAAAATAGTTCCCATCTTTTTATATATTATATACACAAGAAAATCATTAACATGAAAATTACAAAACAAAAATGGTTAGCAGACCTTTACTGAGTACTTATTGAAACAATATGACACTCAACCTTTGATCCAGTTTACATATTCATTACTGTGAATCAGCTGATAGTAAGTCCATAATGTGTTTTCTTTTTTATTATTAAAACAATGATTTAGAATCTTAAACCAAAACCATAAAAAACAATACAAAGTGTTAACAGAGTATCTTAAGCATCCTTCATAAAATCCTTCCAGGCATTTATGGCTGTATCTTCAACATAGACTTAATAGCCCTCTGCATCTAAAATATTTTAAAAAGTGAAATTGTGTTGTCCAGTCAAACCACCGTTTTACAAACAAAACAGTATAGCTTCAGTTGAAAGAAGCAATATCTTGGCACATTTTGGAATATACGCTCTCCTCTTTTTAAGAACACCAGAAGATTCATATTAAGTATGAGCAGTAACATAACTGCAAAATGTTGGAAAAAAAAAAATTAACTGGGAAAAAGTGAACAATCTACAGCTCAAAATGCTGTACAAATCTAAACTATGTTACAATTTCATGTTGTAATTACAACTTGTCTCTTCATTCCAACAGAATTAGTAGGTGTCGTAGTGTTAGATAAAGTAAAAGTGTCAGTCTTTGGTCTTATCGCTTAACCAACGAATGAATTGCAGTACAAAACCATACAGCTAACAGTGCTCAGAGAGATTGCTGATGCTTTTATTTTTCTTTTTTAAACAAGAAAGAGACAGTATCCTATAATATAATGATGCATATTTTTATAGAAGATAAATGTCTTGTCTGCTTTAAATACATGTAGCTAATAAGGTCTTTTCGTGTATTTCACTGTTGCCATAGGGATAGCTCTGGAAAAGTCAAACAGCTGCAATACCATCTTAGTGGTTCCAAAACATTTGAGTACAAAAAGAAGCTTTATTTGATACATGTATTCATATAATAGAAAGAGTCTCAAAAGAGTAATTTTAGTATTTTTTTTAATTGCTCAAATATTAATGATTAAAAATACCTTGAGGTCTTCAGTCTGTCTCTACAATTGTTCCAACAGAATGATTTATTAATGGGAAACTCAGCCTTAGTTGGAATAAGAAGCGACATCTCTCTTCTGAAATAACTGATCAAAATTTTTAGTTAAATAAGCACTCTGGTTAGAGATACAGTAGGAACTTTACATCACATGAATACTGGACGTTATACATGACTAACAAGGACTGAAACAACTTGCAGAAAGGGCCAATAATCTTTGAGAAAGGTGACCCAAAAAATAACTAAAAATTTCCAAATGGTTCTGCATACAATGACCTTTATTTTATGCCTCAACATTACAAAACCAGGACTGAAATAATAAAGGTATGGCTCTATGTTTTAACATGGTATTTGCACTGAGATCTTTCAGTTTTCTTACATCTGAAATGGTTTGATCAACTGTGTCATTTTTTGAAGCACACTACAAACCAAAGAGCTCTACTATTTGCAGCTCTAAACATTGAAAAATACCAAATTTGTTTCTCTTCCCACTCAGAAACACTGACACTGCTTATGTATTAATGGTGTTCTGATGTTTTTAGTTCTTTCAATGCACTGAAATCCCTTTTCTAATACTCTTTGACGTATTTCACGTGGGCTAGAAAACCTCTTAAAAATGAAAACTTATCTTTTCCCCGTCTTATAGCTTTCAGTAGTTGTAAATATCACTATTATGAAAGTCACCAGAATATTAACACATTTATGAGAACCATTTTATAGTTTCCTGAAGCTTCCAAATTTACTTGTGCTAATATTGTTATCATAAATAGTATGGGGCAGATTGAAATGACTGCTAGCACAAAAATCCTGACAGTGCAAAGCTTTGTGGACTTACTGGCTTGGTTTTGTCCAATGTACCATCTATGTATCTGTCCAAAGTTTTCCTCATACACAGAGGTAAAATATTTCATCCTTATAAATATGAATGCAGTTACGAAATATGTGCAGATGTGGTTTTGGTTTATTTTTTTCTGCTTCTTATAAAGTTTCACCCTATCTGTTCATCGGCTAGAAATGTACTACAGGTAAATTATCATATAAGATGAAGAACAAACAAACAAGAAATGTTCAATGGAAAATCCATGACAAAGTATCTGAAAGCCATTCCTGTGGATTTATTGGAGAATAAAAAATAAAAACTTAGTCAATTTGTATGAAATTTGTAAGGTAAAATTTAATTTACTGAATAGATAAGTCAGTAGAACCTTTTCATCTTTGAAGCAACCAGTGTTTGTGGGCGTGCAGAGATAATGAATGCATATGGATTTATCTTGTACTCCTGGAATACTATTTATCTTTTCAACCTTGGACTTTCACACCTCCATGCTATTCTGTAAAAAGTAGAAGAAAAAAGTAGAAAAAGAAATCTATTTCCTTTTGGTTTTAAGTGTATATTGCATGGATGGACTTTCAAATGTTATATTATCTTTGTTGTTGTTTGTATCTGTTTCTGTCCCTCTTACTAAGAATCTCCAAGCTTCCAATATATTTTCTTGCAATACTTTCAAATACATTTTCTTACAAGTGAAATAATAAATTATCAAACTAACAAAAAATTATTTCTTAATAGCCTTCTTTTGAAGAAATAAAATCAATTTAAAATCTTGATTTAACTGCTAGAAAACAGAAGTTTAGCATTCTTGCTATGGGGTGAAATTCACACCTCTGAAGAGAGGCAGTGGAAAGACAAGCACCAGTTAAGCCATGCACACGTCTTGTGCTGGTCTTCTGCACAGGAGTGAATTTCACCTGAAGTGAAAACAAAATCCTTATTAGGTGGTAATAAAATAGGTAATCAAAACATTTGGTTACTTCTTTTCCTATTTTTTTTCCAAAGACAAAAAATATACTCTGTAGAAATACTCACCTTTCACTCTTTGCCCTTCAGAGTGACCTTGCAAAAGCTGTCATTGAATTGATCATCTTACATTCAGAAGCCTCTATAGCTACATGCTAGGTGATGTAATTTAAAGGATAGTATTAAAAAGTGCACTTACCTTATGTAATCAAGCCATCTTCCAGAATAGGAAGCATTTTTAAACTGTTTTACATTCCTGGATTCTGTAAGTTTCAAGATACTCTTGTTAATCAGTGTTGTGATAAATTTATGTAGCAGTATACCAAAGCTTTTATGTAAGATTTCTATTACAAATCAAATGAATCAAGTATGAATCTTGATACAAGTAAGAAATCCCATCTTAAACTGGTCAAAAATAACAAGTCAGCAGTGAGATCTTGGTGCAAATGGGGCTGCATAATTTAAACACAGACCTGATGAAGTCAACATAATATTAATGTACTTATTTAATGTATTTTCTTCATATTTAATGTAATTTGATATATGTTTGTATATATATGTGTTACTGTTATTTTGAAACTTTAGCAGCAGATGGTAAACGAAAGAGAATAAAAAATATGAGTGTCATACCACTTGTTAGTGAATTGCTTCTCAGTATTACACATTGCATTAGCACTAATGTTTATGCTGTGCTCAAATGGCAGCAGTTAGCTAGAAAATGGACAGATGTAACTTTGAAGACTTTTTTTTTCATTTGCCAATTATAATTACTTTATGAAGAGCAATACACTGGTCAAAAGACATATCATCAGTATTTCCCTCTTTACCCTGTTCTTCTTCCCCAAAATCTACTGAAAGCAATCGCTTCACATGCAGTAGCCACAAAATTAATATATAAGGCCATTCAGATCAGACAAACAAGAACAGATGTCTTTTTCACTCTGAAAGGTAATATTGCTGAGCACTTCCAAAATTTACCTAGTGTACAAAACCCTAGACTGAGTAGACAAAGAGTAACAACACACTTCTGAAGAAACCAAACTCAGGGAGGGATTCTGTCTCTTTTTGTGTTAAAAACCATTTACTGAATTTAATTGTTTAGTAAAGCAAGCATCACACAATGCTTCAAAATTTTAAAATTCAGGGATAAAAGTTTACATCCAAAAAAGATGAATGGAAAATTGTGCTTTCAGACAATAGAGTTAATTATCATACAGGGATAACTAATTCATCTCACCATCAGATTCTGGGCAAATTTGTTTATGTACTGTATATATATATATATATGCAGTTCATATCCAGGTCCTGCAAAAATCTAAAACTATGTGCTTCACTTCATGTAGCAAAGGCACCTGTGTTATTCTCCCTTTTGGACAAAAGGTGATATTATGTTCCAGGTTTCCTGATGAAGAATACACTGATTTCTGAATATCTCACTCCCATCTCTACGTTGAGTGGTAACACAAACCACGAGAGAAGGCAGCGCTGTATTCCTGCTTACACTGGAAGAAGTTGCTCTGCAGGCCATTTGAAGCGTTGAACTTGTCACAAGGGAAACCGAGCAGAACTGTGAAGCAGAGGGATAGTAACAAAAGGCTATTCTGGTGTGAGGATAAATTGGAGTCCTTCTAGCTCCACAAGCAGATGTTGCTACTGGATTGACATGTGGAGCCTGCTCCTGCTGGGGACAGGTAAAGTTTACCATTGGGACAGATGCAGATCTCATAGATAGTCTGGCGAGGAGCTGAAGAGCTCGGTGAAGAGGAGGAGAAGGAGCCCACTGGTAGATTTCCCAGGCGGATTGTATCTGCATTTAAAAATATCTACAAAAGGGGGAAATAAAAGAATAAGTACATTTCTTTCAGTATTGTAGCATATTTTTAAAAATGTATTTGAGGCAGAGTTGTGAGATTTTGCAAATATATAAGCTGTCAACATTTCTTGCTTTTCAACTGTGCAGTTGCATACCCATTAATGACCATTACTGCAGTATATGCAAATGGTTCCCCCAACATGTTTATTCAGATACAAGAAATATCATACAGAAATATTTAGACAGTATTCTTAAACAGCTCAAATTTTCACCTGTGCAATTTGTGATTAAAATTTATTCATGCGTGTCAGTAGCATATCCTTGTTCTGGAAAAGTTTTTATTTTAATGAGTGTGAAGAGATATTAAAGTACATTCCCTAGTGTGCTCCTGTAAGCAGCAGGAAATATGTGCTGAACTGTGCTAAACTGTAGGGGCTTAACAATAGTTTCATTCTGAGGATAATTAAATAAGGATGCAGATTCACATGCACAAAATAAAGAGCCAATTTGACCTAAATTAGGAGGATAGAATATTTCAGGTTAAAGTCCTGTTAAGGAGGTCATTTGCTATTCCCATTTGATTCTGAACGTATCAAATGACTTTAAAAATTGTTTTTGTTTGTTTTTTTTTAATCTTCTTCTTGGAAACAAGAGACAGTATTAAAAAGCAAACTTGAATAATGTTAATAAATCTGTATCAAATTCTATAATACTTACACTTTTGTTAAATTTTCAGGATGCCACGAAATCATGTAAATAAAGAAAAAAACAATGCAAATCCTCCACTATTCCACCTAGTACAAATAGATAAGCTTCCAGCTGCTTGGAGGTAGTTTTTCATGGAAGGAGTAAAAGAGAGCCAAAGCAAGATCAGCCATTGCCTTGGATGCAGACTATGGTAACAAAGCAAAATGGCTTTATCTCTGCAAACGACTGTAGAAGCTTAGGGAAAGGTGAGTTCCTTAGGTTGTTGTTAGTGATTTTTATAAGGTATTGAAAGTCAACAAAGCCAACTTGACAACACTATAGCACAATATCAGCAGTACATTTAAGGGACTGGGAAGATATGACACTTGACATTTCCAACAGTAAATACATATTAGTTTATGATAAAACTGGTGGTATATAGCAGAAAAGCAGTGCAGGAGCACTATAGAACCTGTGCTGGAGAGAAGTGACTGACAGCAGGATGGGAAAAAACTGAGAAGAGAAAGCTGAATGAAAATCCATGCAATGACTGATGCACGACAATGTTACCATCCACAGCAGAAGCAATGTAAATGACTGGGATGGTTGAAGGAAATACAGGCTGAACAAAGCCCAAAATAATATAAACCCTGTCAAGGCTTCCTTCTCCCAGAGGAAGATGCTGTCACTGATGGGAAATAACACTAAAAGGGACAGAAGGAAGAATCTCAGAGGCATAGATGACAAGTGCATGGCATGATACCTTTCTTAATTCTCATCCTTACTGACAGGAATTCATTACAAAAGTAAATGCAGTGAACTGTTATCTTTGTTCTGCATTTTTTATAACAAAAGAATGATGCATTTACACACACAAGCTGTTTTAAAAGTACAGTTTCATAAACCTGAAGTAATTAGGAGTCAGTATATATTATAATTTATATAATAATATACAATTTAGATGGAAGAAATGTGGACAGTGTTGAGAATTAATACTGTTCTATTGGAACTGAAACTGTAAAAGATTGCATATGTGAAAAATTCAGCTCAGATGTAACAGTAACTACAGAAAGCATAATAAGAAAATAAAATAACAGATGAGAGAAACAAAGAATTTGGTAGCAAACTAAAAACTAGAACTGGTAAAATGCGGTAAGGAAACAAAAGACTAATCATCAGTCAGTGGAGTTAATGCAAATAAAAAGTACTCTCATTTCTAATACAAGAAATAAAACAAATGTTATCAAGTCCACTACTATCACAGCAATAGTGGAGTTACCAACAGGACTGAATAAAAATCTAGTACGATTCAACAGTGTAAGCTTAACATAAGTATCAGCACATCTTTTATACTGAATAGTGTTCAGCATCGTTCTGTACTCAGGGAAAGATCAAACACTGATGTCAGAACATGATAAAATGCTTTCAGTTTCAACAGTAACTCTGCCGGATATTAAACAGGAGCCTTGAATGTCATATACTTGTAATCAGCAGGTTTTCATAGCTTGAAAATAGTTTTAAAAAAAAACCAACAACCAGAGTAGCCTTTTGGACATTTAATACGTTTTTTTCACTAAGCCTTAGTATACTTGGAATATCAGAGAAGATAAGTAAAAGATTATTTATCTGTTTTTTTGATAAAAAAAAAAAAAGGAAAAAGAAAAAAACAGAAATTAGAATGTTATGTATGTGATAATATGACATTTGAATATAGAAGACTTTCATGTTAAGAAAATCCAACTATACCTGATCAGTTACATATACTTTTGAAAGGAAGAATGACTGGTAACAATTTAGTTGAGGTAGTAGTGGGAAAGGATTCTGAGGAGTACATAAATCAAAATTAAATGAATTCTAAAAGAAGACATGTCTTGATTCAAAAAAAAATTAATTCAGAAGGAAAACAGAAGTCATATGATGCTCGAGATCATGCTAGAAGATGAAAATCTTTTGGATGCTTTGAACTTTGCTATTTTTTATTGTATGTACTTATTATTTCTATGTCTTTGCTTACATCAGGACATCTACACTTCTGCAACTCCTAACTGCAGAGATTCTGTAGTGTACTTCCCTAAGATTTTAATTCAGTGGACTTTTACTCCAGCATCCACTGCAATATAATGTGGCTCAGTTACTTCAAGATTAAATGATCTTTTAAATGATTAAATGATCTTTTCAAGCACATCTGTGCATGTATTTCCACCAGCGCTTTCAAATTTCACACTGTGATGTTGATGAAATCAGATTTTTCTGATGCCATGATCTTGAGTGGTAGCTCTAATGTCCTGTTCCAACAAGAATCCCACAACATCTGGTGAGCAATGTGGATAAAATGGTATTGTGTTGCAGAGAAACTGAAGTGGATTCTTGTGAAGGTGTATCTACTGCAATGAGTCTGACAAGCTTGATGCCTTTGTAGAAAGCTGGGAAAGTAGTGCTGTTTAGACAGACCCCTATAAGCTACACTCTGGGAATGCCCAAGATGAAGAAGTTTAATAAAGGTAGCTTAAAGCCAACCTTAAATCTGTGTGCATATGCAGTCAGGGTTATCAATAAAAAACTAAATTTACAGATGCAACATTGATATTTATTATTAGTTACTTCAGGGGAAAAAAAAAAAAAGAAAAAAAAAAGCCCCCTTTGTATGGAATTTGAGAGGAACATAGTTCATGTTTTAGGATGCAACCTTTTCCCTCCTAAATTTTGGTAAAAACTGAAATTCTTGTCCAAAAAATCTTCCAACAAAACTTAAACTACTTAACTTTTTATGATTGCTGTAATGAGGTGTTTGAAGAGAAAGGAGGTGGCAACAAAGAAGAGTATTGTGTTCCCAGGGAATACTGTTACTAGATGACAGAGAAGTCATCAGGGAAATGCCACTATGAAGGGTCTTACTCTAATCCTTTGTGCTGCCAAAGGTAGGAGATAAGTCATATAATACTTCATATGCATGAAGATTAAGCAAAGCCATTACGCTCTACCTGATACTCACACCTTAGCAGATAAATAGGCAAGGAAAAAAAAACAAAACTTTTATCCATTCTTGAAACATTGTGGGAGATTGACTAAGAAACTACAAAATGGAAAAAGCAGCAGTTACTCACCAAAATAATGTTTCACATTGGAAAACAGTATATTTAGCAGGATCATTCCCTTTATATAGTTAAGATCTAGAAATTGTAGATCATTGCCCTGTTTTGTGTATCTTAATGTCACAAAAAATATTTTAATATTACCCTTTTTAATTATTTTTTTTTTAAAGTACACCTGGTTTCGGATTAATTAAAATAGCAAACTGAATCAGCCTGTAGGGCACGTGAAATTAACAGAAAAATCATACACTTTAAATGAATATTCTTTTGTTCTGTACTATTTAATGTGAAACCTGAGAACTTTCACTGCACATTTTCCATGCAGGATTTTATTTTCACCAGGGCTGTAGGAGTACTGTATGAGACAGAGAGACTGTGGGAGTGAAGCAGAAGACTGAATATAATATTTTTAGGAAATTATTTTATTATTTCCAGTTCTGTATTTTGGGAGAGAAAAAAAAAAAAAAAAAAAAAGGAAGAAAGGAAGAAAGAAAGAATAGGCAGTTCAGCAAGATACCAAAAGATATTATTTGAAATGACAAAGGATATATAAATATTTGGTCTCTCTACTTAGAAAATTTGCAATCAGTTATTTCTACGAATTAGCAAAAGTCTCTGCAATAACAGCACTACTAACTGGCATAGACACAAACATGTAAAAGACTGTATCTTCAAAGAAATGTCAAAGATTAACTAACCCAAGAAATCCTAGCCTGTGCCTTGTAAAAGTGTTTAGAATATCAAAGGTACCTGTGATGTTTATTAACTGAGATCTGGAAGTCATCTACTCATCAGACTGTGCTGTTAAGCTATCTGAACAGGAACAAGGAGGAGAGGAAGATAAGAAAGAAAATACAGTTTATCTACAAAAAAATACAGAAAAATTGAAGGAAAGTACTTTCAGTGGGTAAGATACAGGCATGAGGTAAAGAATCAAATATTCATACAAGGCATGTTATATAGAGATATGAATCAGCCTTGTCATGTATAGAAGTTCTCCCCTAGGTCCTTGACTAAGTGCTCACAAAAGAGGAGATTACACTCTGACTATATGCAGCCAAATACAAGAGTTATGATTTATAAATATTGAAAAATGCATCAAGGTATGGCTGGACTTGAAAGATCATTCCGAAGTGCTTCAAATTGTATTCAGGACTAGTGTGGTTAAAAAATAACAGGAAATTGGATGAAATGTAGAAAAGAAGAAGGAAAACTGAAAGGTAGTGTTCATCAATCAGTATGAAAAGACAGTGTAATGTGATTGCCCTTAGGCTCTTCAGAATTAATTTGAATTATAACAATTCAAGATTTTGTCTAGTCTTTTTGCTCTATTGCATATGCTACCAGAAGCATAAATGGAAATATGATCATATAAATTGGGTTGCTAGACTCCTAACTACGTATTTTTCATTTGCTTGTATGTTTTTATTTGCTGAAGTCAGATTACAGCATATACTGCAATGTTTTAGTTCACATCAACCTATTGTTCTAATAACTACTTCTGGTTTTTACATTTATTTTAAAAATATTCAACAAAAATAGCCTTCATTGAAAGTCTAACTAGCACAGTATCTGGAACCATATCTGTCTTAAGAATCAGTGCTATTAAGGAAAAGGTAAGTACCGAAATGAATTTCATAACTGGGGTGAAACTGGATGTACTGAATATCCAGAGAGAGACAAATTACCTAGTACAATCTGCATGTTCAAAATATATTCTCTATAGAAGTAGGATCAATTGGCCACAAGAGAAAGGAGAGCTGTAGGCCAAAGTGCAGTCAGGTGTGATGGATGTTCTCTGTCTAAAGATTATACATGACACACACGGATGAAGCAACCTTCTTTAATTCTGTTCCATTTTCTTCCTCAATATTATTCTTGAAAGTACTGCCAACTGTAAGTGATTTGAAAACTAATATATATATGCATTAAATATAACGTAAATAGTAAAGTGTGCAATTCTTGCTAGAATGAAAGAACTTTTGTTTCAACACCTCAATACAGAAGTGACGCTTATGAGAGTTATGCTTCATTTTAAGCACATATTTTTCTAAATTCATGTTAGATGGTCACAAGCATATGTTGCATGATAACTCCACTGTAATTTATATTGGTGGCTATGGAAACAAAAAATTTCTAGCGTATTTATTCTTTCCGTTTCAGGGTTGCTCAAATGGGATTGCTATGAATGCTGACCAGTAGAAGTTTACAAGGTCCAATGCTTATGGTATGCCCATGACAGACTCATACACAAGAATTCCTTGAATCAAATTCCAAATGGTATTAGAAATCCTTTGAAATTCAGAGGACAAATATGACTTCTTTGTTATATATGTACCCAAACCAGAAAGCGAAAGACATGATAAAAATATTTCTGCTCAATCTTGTGAGTAAAAAAAGTCATCAATTACATTTCAAATTGAAATTTAATCTTCTTGGAAAAATGTTTCATTTATAAATTAAAAATTGTCACTTCTTTTTCTAGTAAAATTGCCTCAAGGATCATCAAGTTGCAACGTCCTTGCCATAGGCAGGGTTGCCAGCTAGTACTAGATCAGTACTGCTCAGGACCCCAACCAACCTGGCCTTGAACATCTCTGGGAACAGGGTATTCAAAGTCTCTCTGGGCAACCCCCCTGGCATTTAATCTAAGTCTAACCATTACCTCCTGTCCTATCACCATCTACTCATGTAAAAAGTTGATTTTCCTTCCATTTCTAATCTTCCTTTAAATACTGGAAGGCCATACATCCTTCTCTTCTCTAGACTAAACAAGCCTAGCTCCTTCAGTTTATTACAGGAGAGGTGCTCTAGTCCTCTGATCATCTTCATGGCCCTCCTCTGGACCCTATTCAAAAGCTCTACATCTTTCCTGTGTTGGGGGGGACCAGACTTGGACATAGCACTCCACCTGGGGCCTCACAAAAACAGAACAGACAGGGACAATCACGTCCCTCTCCCCACTAGTCATCCCTTTTCTGACAGAACTGAAGTTACCATTGGCTTTCTGGCTACAAGTGCACACTGCTGGCTCATGTTAAGTTTTTCATTTACCAGAATCCGTAAGTCCTTCTCAGCAGGGCTGCTCTCAAGTTCTTCTCCCAGTTTGTATTATCTTGATCTGGGATTATCTCAAACTGAGTGCAAAGCCTTGCACTTGGCTTCGTTGACCTTCATGAGGTTTACATGAGCCCAACATTCAAACTTACCAAGACCTTCTAGATGGCATCCCTTCCTTCTGCTTTTTCAACCACATTGCCTAGCTTGGTGTCATCAGCAAACTTGCTGAGGGTGCACTCAATCCCGTCATTTATGTCACTGATAAAGATGTTACAGTACTGCTTCCAAGATACATCCCTGGGGGACACTGTGCATCACCAGACTCTCCTGGGACATAGAGCCATTGACCACAACCCTCTGGCTGTGATGTTCCAACCAGCTCCTTACCCATGAAACTGTGTACCTTTCAAAACCACATCTCTGATAAGGATAAGGATGTAGTAGGGACCATGCAAGCCAAAGGCCTTGCAGAAGCAAATATATTTATAGAAAAAAGGAGTGTCAGTGTGTCTTTCTCTTTTTATTTATTTTGTCTTTGCTAAAAAAATAGGATTCAATGAAAATGCAGAACTTAGGTTACATAGAAGCAGCCTGAAAAAGTACATAACAGCATGAGCTTCAGTACAGCTAAGGTTAGTTAGGAGCCCTTCTCTTCAAAGGGTGATGTATTTCAAAACCATTAAAATTAGTTGCTAGAACAAATAGTTTTTAGCATGAAATAAACTATTTGGAAAGGTGTGATTATATCATAATGTATTTCAGGTATATTTCTATGTACTTTTATACTAAGAAAAATCTAGTATTTGTGGAATTCAAAATTGATCTGTATTTTTGCAATATACTTATATGTGAAAGAAGCAGTAGCCAGCTAGCAATCGTGCTGAATTACCAAACAAGAAAAGTTATTTTTCTTCTTATGTGAACCAGTAGATTTAGATAGAGCTCAGAGCTTCACATTGCTTTCTGCTTGTAAACGATGGCTACTTTAAACCATTAGTTATGGTTTATTTATAGAATAAAACATAGTTCACAATTAAATGCCAAGCTGTAATTGAATCAAAGGATTCAGCTGATGCCTTGGCTCACAAGGGTGCAGCTCAAGAGTTTTATTAAGAGCAGTAGAGTGTGAATAAAAATTACAGCCCCTAGTATTCAGTCTGGGATCATGCATTATAATGTGTAATATGGCTAAAAGGATTATTATAATACTGTAGTAAATAAAAAGACCATGTATCAAACAGCAGAACTGAGAATGCTTGCAGAGGCTTTCATTTTGTGATGTGGGAGGCTAAAGATTATACTGTATGAGAAATAAGGGTAAAGGAAAATGATTTTATAAACACATCAATGTTCTTCAGAAGATAATTTCTAAAGTTATTCTTAAATAAAAGGAAAATATATGCTTCATAGATTAATCCACTGTAAATTCATAACAATTGTCTTCATGGCTAATAATGATTTTTTCCAGATTCCATATAACTATTTCCTGGTATGACACAGCAGTAATTATGCCACAGAAGGAAAATATTACCTTGTGTATCTTTGGTGCCTTAGTAAATAAGCTTATAAACTTAAAAAAAAATTAAAAGTTAACTAGTATGGAAATGATACCAAAAAATCATGTATTGTATTTTTTTTTCTAGTACAAAAAGGGACCTCAAGGATCATGAATCTCCAACCCCTCTGCCACAGACAGGGCCACCAACCTCCCCATTTAATACTAGACCAGGTTGCCCAGGGCCCCATCCGATCTGGCCTTGAACACTTCCAGGGACGGTGCATGCACAACCTCTCTGGGCAGCATGTTCCAGCACCTCACTACTCTCTAATAAAGAACTTACAGGGTGAGGGAAAGGGTAGGGAAAGGTTGGTGTCTTGTTCTCTCATAACTATCAATCTAACATATACATGGGAAATCACAGATGAATAAAGTCTTATTTTCCATGCCCAGGACTATAAAAAACATTTTTAATAGGAAGTTAGATTAAGCTTGTTTTACACTGTCTTTTTTTTTTTTCTATAAAGCATTTTGTTCTTAACTGAATTCCAACAATGCAAAAGATAGTTATTATAACTTTTCTCAAGTTCCTATTATGGCAATCTAGCTGAGATCATAAGGAATTACTTCCAAAAACATCTTTCCAATGTACACTAGTAGATACTTAAGAAAAATTAAAAGTCATACTATATATTCCGTACGTTTCTGCCATTCATGGATTATGAACCAAACCAGTGATCCAATTTGACATTTTTTTCTTGATTTCACACAGGTTTATACATGAAGAATCCATACCAAATTTTTTGTCTTGTTGATCACTGAAACATGATTTTGGTGAAATCATACAATGAACACAGCACTGAAATTCTCTATCCTTCAGAGGTATTAACAGCCAAAGGAAAAATATGCAGTATGCAGAGTAAATCTGTTGAAACATGTTATCATAGCTTAATAAGGTATTAATTCAAACTTTTCTCTTTCAGCTTGTCAAATTCATCCAAATTTTTTTTTTTACCATCATCACTTAGCTGTATTTTTCCCAAGGATATACCGAAGGACTTGATAGTGTTTTTCTTGAGTGTTATATTAAAAACTATTTTTATCTATATCCATTTCATTTTTTTCAGTGTACATGAGATTTAGTAATTCAAATATTTGAAAAAAAGAAAAATAAATAAATTATTTTAACATAGACAAATGCAGAATGCTTCTTGTATGTTTACCATGCTGCTGAATAAATGATCCTTGCATTATTTGTTTTAACAGGGCAGTAGAACATTTTTCTACTGGCTGAGCTTACCTCCCCTTCTGTAGACTGTAAGTGCAGTTCTTTTCTACATGTAGCCTTTAAATCTCCTGCAGCTGCATTGATTTGCACTCCCCTGGGTGCTTCCATCACCAAAGATCTAGTTGGAGATTCAAGTCTGAAAGACAAAAACAACCACTGAGAAAAAAATACACTGAATCAAACCACAAAAAAAAAAAAAAAAAATCAACCAGACTTAAAAACTACAGTACCACAGCGCATGAAGATACACATTTTGAATTGTTAATGTATTTTGAAAGTTAATGAAGCAGAAGTGAGTTATTATACATACACATGATTCTCTCACTGTTCTCTATAGCCCAGAGAATAAAAAATCCATCTGTGTTTAAATCTATTCCTGCCTGGGACAGCATTTAGGCATTTAATGATATATAGGTGCCTGCCTACTGATGTTTGCCTATACTAAAACTGAAATACAGGAACTTACAATTCCATGTATTTCTATGAGTGCTACTGTAATGGCAATTTAATAACTAAACATTGCTAAGTGACCAATGGCAAATGTTCATCTCAATAAAAATTAAGCAAAGGACTTTAACAGTTTTAAATAATAATGTAATACTGAATAGAATGGCTTTGCCTTCACAGGCTTATTTGTATTTCACAGAGATGTAGCAGCATTATGTATGAAAAAAGGGAAAGAGTACCATTCCAGTCTCTTTTACTGTGGTTTTTTGCATGCCTTTTTTCTGTTCTGCAAAATACTCATTATGCTCTTTAATACTGATATAATAGGGTCAAACTACATATTACTGGGACTTGGTATGTCTCCCTAGTGCAACTATTGTTGTTCTACTCCTGACAGATTTTCCCTTTCTTTCTGTACTCTATACTCAAGATTCTCAATTAAGCTTAGTGCAGAACTAAGGTACCTTCTCATCTATATTCTATCTCAGTATGCTGAGATAGATCTCTTGAATGGGAAGAACCACTGCAAGGTTTTGATAGTAGTAGTGTTCACAGACTGAATAGAAAAGGTGATCAAATGTATTGAACTGGAAAACAAAGAAATGAATTCTGGATGCGTTCAGCGATAGACTTATTGCATAGCCCTGTTAGGAATGGGAAAAATCTTTTAATCTATTTGTATCACAGTAATATAATGACAGAACACAGTTCTTACTCTACCTGAACAAAAGCTTTTTGTAAGATGAAATATGCTAGTGATAAAAATAGCTAGAGTGAGCAGCTCAATAAAAACACTGCATTTCCCTCTTTAACAAATTGTATTCTGAGTGTTAGGTCAAATCTATTCCAAAGTATAATGAGTTACTAGGCATGTTATAGATGTGAGTAGTTCATCAAAGAATTTTGCTATAGAAAAGCCAAATGAAAGGTCTATCAGGCAGTGGAATGACAGAATTTCAGCATATTTCAACCACTGTTTTTGTTTTTTAGTATACAGAGTAGTAATGGATAATTTGAAATCAAAATGCCACATTTGCATGCAAAGTAAGTTACCAAGATGGTATCTGTGAAATATGTCTGTTCATTATATGTCACTCAGATTCAATGGGACAGAAGATGGAAACACAGAAAAATTACCTGGTAGCACAAAATGAGACTATTAAAAGCAGGTGTTCAGATAACAGCAAAGTATTTTTTGCAGATAGCACAAAAATCTGTACTTGTTACATGCTTTTTTTTTTTTTTTTTTTTTTTTTTTACAGTCTATATAGGAAAAGGTTAACAGATCATTTTTGTACTTCTTTGTACCAGGAAAGAATCTAAATATCATGAATTTTTTAATCATGAACTTCAGTGTTTTTCAGGTGGTTATCTGATGTTAATTTCTGATGGCTATAAGACAACAGAAAAAGAGTTTCCAAAACTTTTTAGAAACTGTATACACACACTGGAAACAAATGAACAAACAAAACCAACAAAAGAACAACAAAAAATAACATTCAAAGAGAAAACTTATTTGTTTGCAATGGAAAGTATAACAGAATTCTGCTGCTCACAAAATACCGAGTAACTCCAAAACAGAGAAACAGAGCTGCATATCTGATTTACAAATATCAGACCCAATTTAACCATTGCTATAAATCAAGAAAACTTCATTATGTACAATTGTATACTATGTAACAAACATTTTTTTGTTATGTGTGTTTGAAATTTGCTGAAAGGGTGTGTGTAGCAGAGAAAGCTATTGTACTAGTTCCATGACAATTTAGGTCTGACTTCTGCAATCCAGTCAGCATACACAGATTTGTACTGCAAAGATCATAGCTCAGTAGTGTTGGAGTACAGTAGCAAACTGATGAAAAAAAAAAAAAAAAACCATAATCAAAAAATGCCTGGCGTTTAGGTAAGGTGCATTTCTGTGTAGATTTCTGTTTAGAAATGAGGCTTTTTAAAGTATTACGTTGGCTTAACGAAATTTTACTTTGAATTTCATAAGAAATTGAACTATGCAGTTCAGTGTTGAATGTTTGGATATTTCCATTCCATCCATAATTTTCAGCAACATGATTTTATGATTTATAAACCAATTTCTCAGAATCTTAAGATTTCCCACTGGTTTCAGCTCCCACCTTCTAATAATTAGGATAAAAAATGTTCCTTAACTATATTCATTACACTGAATATGTAGATTTTAGCGAAAAAAAAAAACCCAGAAAATATTTCTGGTTTTATATAATCAAAATCACTCTTAGACATCAGAAATTTTCTAGTAGGAAGACAGAAAAAGTCTGTTTAGGAATACCAAACAAAAAATAATTTTGTTTGAAAAATTAACATTTTTTTCCAAAGCACAACAAAAGTTGAGATGTTCCCTTTTGTTTCATCATTGTTGTTCATTATCTTTGTCAATTTTAATAGCTTTCTATTTGTCTAAAATGAAGACATTTGGAGAATTAATTTCTGAAATTAAGTTGTTAATATCAGACTTCAACGTAGTCTGGAGAAGTTTCTTTTTCAGGCAATAGATTTTTTTAGCAGTTTCCTGAAATCAAATATTTTGGTAGAAATATTAGTGAATGGCTGATGATTAGAGAAGTAGCTTTTAAAATACTACCCATCTATTAATAAAACTGAGTGCCTATATTTGTTTTACAGCTACTAACGTACTTTTTTTGTTATTATTCTTCAGAAGATACACAGCTGAAAAGTGTCTTAGTTATGCAATCTCCTGCATACTATTGGAAACTGAAAAGCCTATGCACTGAGAGATTATTTCCTCAATCTTTTCAGATAAATTATATTTGATATGCAGCTTCTTTAAAATATTTTTGTTATATTTCTGAAAGCTTTAATCTCCATTATAATACAATTGTAACACTCCATGTTGTAATTCATCCCTTTAAGGAATAGCACATTATTAGAATAGCAAACCAAGAATTTGCTTTCCTTTCAGATTTACTGATGGCCTGTCACATTAGCATTTACTTCACTGAGATAATCTTAATTGTACAATCATAGAATCATAGAATGGCCTGGGTTGAAAAAGACCACAATGATCATCTGGTTTCCATCCCCCTGCTACGTGCAGGGTTGCCAACCACTAGACCAGGCTAGACAAGAGCCACATTCAGCCTGGGCTTGAATGCCTCCAGGGATGTGGCATCCACAACCTCCTTGGGCAACCTGTTCCAGTGTATCACCACCCTCTACGTGAAAAGAATATCTAACCTAAACCTCTCCTGTCTTAGTTTAACACCATTCCCCCTTATCCTATCACTATCCACTCTCACAAACAGCCGTTCCCCATCCTGTTTATACACTCCTTTCAAGTACTGGAAGGCCACAAGGAGGTCTCCCCATAGCCTTCTCCAAGCTAAACAAGCCCAGTTCCCTCAACCTTTCCTCATAGGAGAGGTGCTCCAGCCCTCTGATCATTTTAGTGGCCCTCCTCTGGACCCGCTCCAAGTCCTTCCTGTACTGGGGGTCCCAGACCTGGACACAGTACTACAGATGGGGCCTCGCAAGAGCTGAGTAGAGGGGCACAATCACCTCACTCTGATGGCCACCCCTTTTATAATGCAGTCCAGAATACCGTTGGCCTGCTGGGCTGCAAGCACACACTGCTGGCTCATGTCCAGCTTCTCGTCCACCAGGGCCCCCAAGTCCTTCTCCGCAGGACTGCTCTCAAGGAGATCTTCCCCCAGTTTGTATAAGTACCTGGGATTGCCCCAGCCCAAGTGCAGCACCTTGCACTTGACCTTAATGAACCTCATCAGGTTTTCATGGGCCCACTTCTCCAGCCTGTCCACGTCCCTCTGGATGGCTTCCCTTCCATCCAGTGTATTGGCTGCACCGCTCAGCTTGGTGTCATCTGCAAACTTGCTGAGGGTGCATTTGATGCCATTGTCTATGTCATTGATGAAGATGTTGAAAAGCACCGTTCCCAAGACTGACCCATGAAGGACACCGCTTATGACTGGCCTCCACCCTGACACAGAACCATTGATCACAACCCTTTGGCTGCATCCAGTCAGCCAATTTCTAATCCATTGAATAGTCCATCTTCAAATCCACACCTCTCCAATTTAGAGAGAAGGATGTGGTGAGGGACCATGTGAATATAATATTGCTTATATATCATACAATATAATACAACATAAATGTATATAATTTTATATAATATATATTTATCTGTATATAATATGTATATTATATTAATATAATTTTTAAATAATATAATACAATATAATTTTGCTTTCCTAACCAGCACACAGCTGTAATAGAGAAAGTAATTAGTGCTATTAATGAACAGAATCTACAACACACTAGGGAAAGATGAAGAAATGTTTAAAACAACACTTTCAAATAATATAATCTGTCAATTCTTACATGTGATTCAGAAAGATCTATCCAGAGCACAGAAGGGCTTTTTTTCTTTTTAATTAAGGGCTAAAAATCAAGGGCTAATTTTAAAGACGAATTTTAGAGGATCAAAGCTGCATGGACTTGGGCTGAATTCATTAAAGCATTATTGCTAAAAAAGGAAAGTTTTCAAACATTTTGAGTATGTTACTTTGAAGGTATTAAAATATTTCTCATCAGAAATACAGAAATATTTATTTTTCATTTGTTATTTTCTGTTTACAAGCTGACCTAGATCGTATTAGGGAAAAATAGTAATAATAAAGA